TTTGCTGTTGGCTTGACAGGTTTCTCGTTTCTCCAGTCTTGAACAGCTGTCCCCACAAACCAAACACTGAGGATTCTTTAACTAGTCCCCATTTCTAACTAGCCCCATTTCCAGCAAATGGATAACAAGAGGACTACAAAAGAATGTGGTGACCTCTGTCAGGTTCGGGGTGCTTTGAATGAGACACCCAGAAGGCACTCACAGATATATTTAAAAAGAAAAAAGAAAAAAAAAAAAAAAGAACGTTCAGTGCAAGGACAGTCTCTTTCAGAGAAGTGTACAGAGTGACCTAACACTGAGCTCCCAGCTTGCTCCCTCAAAACTTTGTTGAGTGCGTGACTCTTTAAGAACCAAAAGTATGTGTCATTTTTCAAAAAGAGGGGGGAAAAAAGATACCCCGCCCTTTTCCAGGGGCAAAACTGAAGCCTGCCAAAATTAAGTCTTAAAAATGGAATCTTGCAGCCTGAGGCTCCACAGTAAATAAAATAATCCTAAATACACATTATGAACTATATATAGGGTGTCCTTCACTGGATAAGAACACCATTGTTGATGGACAGGCCATTGGAGGTTTCTAAACATGGCGTTCGGCCATTGTTTTAGGCTACCACTTCCAAAGACTTTTGTATTGGACTTGAAAGATGGCTCCAAGGTTAGGAGCACTGGCTGCTCTTCTAGAGGACCTTAATTCAGATCCCAGCACCCACACAGCAGTTCCCAGCCATCCCTCAATTCCAGTCCCAAGGGATCCAACACCCTCTACAGGCCGCTGAGGGCACTGCACACGTGTGGTGCACATTTATGCATATAGGCAAACATAAAATTTAAAAAAAAAAAAACACAACTTTTTATTTCTGTACTAACCTAATCCTAGTGATTACAGGCGTTTATTTCCAAACTAAACATACTGAATGTCTGGGCCTAGTTAGAAGAGATAGACACACCTGCGGAGCTGGCAGCTGACCATGCTCACACATGGAGTACCAGCAGCTGGCTGAGAACTCTGCAACCCCACAGGGACCGCCCAGGATGGTACTTCCACACCTGCACCCCGGGACCACCCTCAGGCTCTGGGTCAAAACAACCAGAGACCACATTCTCCCAGGACTTGGCAGGCTGATCCTGACAAGCACGTGAACACCATGCAAAGGGGTGACTAAGCATTTGGTTTGTTTATTTTCCCACTCCAAAAAAAAATGAGATCGTCATCTATAATCAGTAGCCTGGCTCTGCCACTGATTTAACGGAGAAAACTGGATAATCACTCAAAACACTCTAGCCCCCTCTAAACCCCAGATAAAGACACTGAAGACTCGCTCTAACTCGTCCCTCACAGGATGCACAGTCCTAGGGAAGAGGTCTGTTACAGGATATTCTTCCCACAGGCGATGGCTACCTCTTGCTACACAGATGCTGAGAAGCAAAGGATCCACCCTTCTTGAAATGGGAATCACGATGGAAGGAGCCGCCTGCACCGGACCAGACAGGAGAGCCCAAAAGCTAGAGCGTCTATCGGCCTTGAACCTGACTGTGGAAAAAGAGGTCAAGTACCCTGAGAAAGAGCAGAATCCCAGAAGCCGTAGAACAGCACTCAGTGAGGAGGGGAAGGGCACTCCAAACTTCACTTAACACTGGTAGGGATGAAAACACTTCCAGACACTTTGGAACATAGTTTGGCGATTTCTTACCAAAGTAAACACGCAGTTACCACATAACCCAGCAACCCTAATCCTGGGTATTTACCCGAACGGGCCGAAATCTTTTGTCTAGACAAATGGATGGGAATGTTTAAGGCGGATTTACTCACCGCGGCCAGGACTTGCAAACAACTAAGACGTCCTTCGGTATGTAGATAGAGATAAAGGCTTCCATCCAAACACTCAAAAGAAACAAGCCGTGAAAACAACTATTGTAGAGGGGCTGGGGAGAGAGGGTACCTGCTGGATAGTCACGAGGACTGGGTTCCAATTCCCTTAACCCAAGAAAAAGCCATGAATGCTGGATGAGCCTAGAAACCAGCCTGTAATCTTAGCCCTCAAGAGGTGGGGACAGGGGGGCCCTAAGCAAGCTGGCTAGCTAGACTAACCTAATCTGCAGGCTGTGGGTTAAAGCGAGAAAGACCTGACCCCCAACATAAAAGGGAGAGATGAAAGAACAATCCAAGGCCTACACACACACACACACACCAAGAGCATGGAGGATCCTTCAATTCTTTCTACCAAGTGACAGAACCCAACCTGTTTCCACACCCAACATATAACATCCTGGGAATGGCAAAACTACACAGTAAAGGCTCAACGGTTTCCAAGTCTTGCAGGAGGAAGCAAAAAGGAAGACACAGAATTACTTCGGTGGCAGAATTCTTTTTCGTTATGCTCTTAGGGTGAGCGATGTCTCTGTCCATTTGTCCAAGCCCAAAAAAATACAACTCCCAGAAAGCCCTGATGTAAACCATATGGGTGGAAATGGGACACTCAACTCTAACAAACACACTACTCCGGTACTCTCTCCGGTACTCTCGGGGCTGCTGGTGGAGGAGGCTGTGCCTACCAAGGGTGCAGCAAGCAGGTGGGAGAAACGACTTTCTGTTGATTAAAAAAAAAAAAAAAAAAAAAAAAAACTACTTTTCTCATGGGTCTCTCGCATTCTCTCTCTCTCTTTCTCTCTCTCCCTCTCTTCTCCACTCCACGGACAGCCTTCATCGCCTTTCGTGCTCATCAACAAGGAAGGTAAATGTTATAATTAGATGAACTAATAAGAGCCAGGAAAGCAAGAAACAGGATGATGCTCCCCACGTTCCTGTCAAATTAACAACAACTGTGGAAAATAGTAGAGGCCTCCCTTGCCTGCCCTGGCCTTGGCACAGCCTTCCAGGTTCGATCTGTCAGGAATCCACACAGCCTGACACTGGCAGGAACTCTACAGGTGGTGGTCTGCTCTAGAGGCCAAGCCCCACCCAGCCCCATCTCCACCCCAGGTCAAAAGTCCCAGCAATCCCTTCGCTACACAGGACAATTAGCTCCTAACTAACCCCTGCCAAAAATGAGGGACCCAGATGGACCACAAGCACTTTTATCTCTCCGAATACATTAGGGATTAAAAGAGAGAGAGAGAGACCTGCCCAACACCTTCAAACTGTCAGCATGAACCATGTCAGACCCTTACCGACTGGGACTACAAAACACTCGCTTCCACAAGGGACTGGATGGCGTATTAGCTCCAGTTAGGAGTGCTAAGAACAAAGCTGCGCCCTTACCCACTGTTCCCAATTATTCAGGATGCTTCTGGTCTTGCACGCCAGCCTTGAACACGTTTGTCCCTGCAAGGCCGCAGCGACAAGCACACTTAGAGGTCAACAGGTCAAACAGATAACCCTTTCACAGAGTCTCCCACACCTCAACAAACTGCAGCCTAGCCTGTGAAGAGGCTGAAGGTAAGCTCTGTTCCTTTCCACTGCTGAAGGTCTGCGAAAGACTAATGCTTTTTTTTTTACAAGGAATTTAAAGTAGTTTTCATTTACATCAAATCTTAAATAAACAACTGCCACCGACGTCCTCCCTGCTCCAAATCAACTCTGCCAAGTCCCCACTTGGGCCAGTCAGACTGGAGTCTTGCAGGCCATCACCTCCACAAACCGGTTTCCTTCCCTATCAAAAGGCCGGTCCAACAACTTGCAACCTGGAGACGCAAGCTTACGGGTCCAGCCCCAGGGAACCGGGCTGTAAGAAAGCAAGCAGGGTGCTTTTCTACAAAAATCAACGGGCTATTTAGATTGCAAATCACACAGCCTCCTTGGCTGAAACCTGCTATCTACACAAACCAAGAAAGGCCATGGAGAAGCCAGGCACAGGGAACACACACACACTTCACTTTTTCTTGGCACAAGGGCAGCTTAAATTTGTCCCGTTTTCGTCTCCAGGATGTGATCCTTGACCCATCATCAAATTTCTTTTCTCCGCTGGAAGGTTTCATCTAATCAGCTGTGTGCAAGCGGCTCTGGCAATTTATCCTCCTTGATTTCTTGACATTTTCTTCCGTGCTGCTGGCCGGGAAACTGTTTTGATCTGAATAGGGTTGTCTGTGGGGGATTCTGCATGTTAATGATGTGGAGTTGGCAAGGATGGGAGGTGAGAGCACAACGCGTACTTTTTCTAGTTACGTTTCGCCTCATCACCGCTACGGGGCCTTTCCACTCTGCTACACCAGGAGGCTGATCTCAGACTAATCTTACCCTCTTCCAGGGAGCCTCGAGGGGCCAGGTAGAAACAGAACAGATGGCCTGTGTTCCCGTCAAGTACCCAGACTCACAGGCAAGTACTCCTAAGCACTCCCCCACCAATGAAGGAGACGCACGTACATCCTTGCTTAGCCAGGCGGTCCCAGCGGCCACCCTCCATCCTGGCTTCAGCTCCAACCCTGTCCCAGCCAGTGCCAGACGCTACACTCCCCTCCTTCTCTGTACCCGCCCAACCTGGTAGTCCAAAAGGACAGGGATTCCGAACGAGGTACTAGTGTAGCCCCAGTGCCCGCCCTTCCCTCTCTATCCTGGCCAGAAAACTCCACTTCCCGGATTCCGGGCCACTCTCTCCCTCCCCCTGCGCCGGCGACCCAGCAAAGCGCAGTGCTTCTGCCAACTGGGTGCCCAGCCCAGCGACACACCCCGCCTCCCCCACTAACCCCCAAACAGACCCCAGCTTCGTCCATTCATGAGGACTGGGTGGGGGTGGGGGTTGGCGATTCGGAGTCTCCAGGCGTCAGAGGACTGAGAGAGTCCCACCCCGCCCCCCAAGCCACGCCGCCAGCCTCCAGCCCTGCCTCGGAGGGGCCTCCACCCGGGGCGAAGAGGAGACGTGTGGGGTCTCCCCAAGCACCTTCAACATCCCAAGGGAGGGGGGGGGCGCGCGTGGACCCCAAGGCCCGCTCCCTGTGTCCCCAGGCCCGCAGCCCCTCGCGGGTGCGCGCCCTCGGGGTCCCCCACCCGGTCGGCAGGGTGCACTCACGATGGTCACGCTGGCTTTGCGCAGGTCGCGGTTCTCCTCCTGCAGCGCCTTGCACTTGAGTTTGTAGGTCTCCAGCTCGATCTTCAGCACCTTGTTCTCCTGCTGCAGCGAGGCCAGGCGGTTGGTGAGCTCCTCCAGGCGGAACGGCGAGATGACAATGCCCCCCGACTTCCCGCCGCCGCCCCCGCCGCTGCCGCCCGAGGTCGCCGAGCAGGACGACTGCATGGCTGCCGGGCCGCCGCCCGCCGCGTCGGTATCGCTCTCGCTCGCGCTGTCCGCCATGGCGGAGCGAGTAGACGCGGGGAGCCGGGGAGCCGGCGAAGCGGGGAGCCCGGAGAGGGGCGCGGAGGACCGGGCGCGCGGCGAGTGGGCGCGGGGCCGGGCGCGCGGCGGGGAGCGGGGAGCTCAGAGCGCGGCGCGGGTGGCAGGGCGCAGACGCGCGGCGGCGGCGGCGGAGAAAGAGAGGGCGCTTCCCGCGGCCGCGCGAGCTGCTCCGCCAGGGAACAGAGACCCCGCCCGGACTCGGGCAGTACTGCAGCGCCGGGGCCTGGCGCGCTCGGCGGGGGACGTCCCCGCAGCCTCAGCCCCGCGCTCAGCGACCGGCTCGCACGCACACACACACGCTCGGGTCCGCGCCGCCTTCCCGCGCACGTGCTCCCGCCCCGGGCCCTTGCGTCCCAGGCTCCAACCCACGGCCGCGCCGCCTCTTCCGGAGAAAGGCGGACTCCACGACCGCGCCAGCCCTGCAGGTGCTGGGACACGTGGGAGGAGCAGCCGGGCTCCTCGGTCCACCCCACCCTCCCACCCCCGCCAAGCTGTAGCCTGGCACCTTCCGTCGGCGCCGGCGCGCGTGGATCTCTCTGGCTGCTTCATGCAGAGGCTCGCTTGGAGCTAGGAACAGAAAGTTCCCCTGCAGTGGGCCCCGGGAGGTGGGGGGAGGGGGCACTGCAAGACGGCAGCCACAGGTTAGCCTCGCTTGGGAAAGAATTTTGCAGAGAAGACAAACACCCCTTTCGTCCAGTTGTTTAAAACCGGGCGCAGCCCCCTCCACCCTTTTCCCCTTTGCTTCTTGCAAACACTCACTGCACGAAATAGGATTAAGACACCAAGATTCGTCTAGTCGTGAAACGGGAGTATTTTTTCCAGAAGGGTTGAAACACACTTCAAGTGCCAATTTTCCAAAGTAACTGCAGGCACAATGCTAAACAAATAGCCACGATTAAGTAAGGGAACTGTATAACCATTATTACCGCTCACCAACTCCTACAAAACTCCAGGAGGTCAAAATAAAACCGTAATTACTACCGTAGAGAGCCAGCCTCAAACAATCAGAAACTCAAATACTGTTAGGCCCTTCCCTCGAAGGGCTTGCAGGAAACTGGCTTAGCAGGTGAACAGGGTCTAAACACTTCACCCCGCTGATACCAAACAGCTTTCACTTACGGGTAAAAAAATTGGAAAGTGAAACTGACCAGACGGGTTTTATTATCCGAGTTTAGTCAAAGGAAGAACAAACTCATGGAAACAAAATGCAAAAAGGGGGTGGGGGGGCGGGGGTGGGTTAAAGGTGTTTTCTAGCCGTTAGCTGCTCCAGGAGTTTATATAAAGCATTTAGTATGACTTAAGAAATCGAGGTCCTCGTTCCTAGTCCCACTCCCCCTTGTCCATCAAACCTGCATTTCAACCTTGTCCATCAACCTGCCAACGGAGGAACCTTGACCTCATCTCTACCAAGATGGCTGCTCCTAGTCAACTCAGAAATTCCAGTGAGCCCCCCAAACTTGTCCTAGACATTCTTCAGTTTAGTGCTGAGGGGGTTTCTGAAAGCACCGTCGGTGAAGCACAATTTGACAACAGTTTTGAAAAAAATCGAGGGGGAAAGGGCTTTCCCCTATAGGAGTATATCGCCAATTCAAATAAGCCTCTGCTGAGGGAGCCACTAAGTTTACTTGGCTCCTTGTCCTTGCCGTGTTGGGTCTGGGACAGGAGACACTCAGCTCCTTCGCTCTCAGCAAGCTTCTAGAAAACCGACTCAGGGGGAGATGGATAGGGTATGGGGAGCCCTGCCGGGGACTGGGATTTAACTGCATTCTTTCCGCTTTATTCAGAGCAGGGCAGTCTGGGGTGGGCGTGGCTTCCATACTCCACAAGTTTTCTATTGTTCTTTTCCCACCCGACCTCCAGACCGCCACATTTAGAGGGCTTACAGCTTCGGGAACATTCCTTGCTGGCAGGGTAGGGGGGCAAATTAGCTCTTTGGTGTTTATCACTAAAACTAACTGCCTTGGGAAAGCGACCTGCAGGCTTCCAGTCGGCGAGGGGTGGAGTTAAAAGTGCCTGGTTTTCTTAAAGGGCCCGTGGCAGTGAAAGCTTGAGAATGTCTTGGTCTTCATTAGGATTTGGGGAACTGCATTTTTTTTTACATCGTATTTGTAATTACTAATCGGTTTTAGAAGATGTTAGGAAAAATTCATCTTCTAAAGCTTCTCTGCTGGTACAAATGGGAATAAATTGGAGAATTCCCTCCCCCCCCCCTCCAGGTTTTGTTGCAGAACAGAAGCATGTCTAATTTTCTACTTCTTGTAGAAGTGATTTTCCTCATAAACAGACGATTTGTCACGACACTGGTTCGGTAATAGCATTACAATGGAAACACCAGCTACAAAATAGATCGGATCATTATAAAACGCCTCAGCTTCCCAGTGGAAGTGCATCCGTGGGTAGCGGTAGCCTGAGTTCTCTGGAGGAGGAAGGGGCAATATTTAAATTGGCACCTCCACTGCAGAAATATTGAAATTAGCTTCACCCTGAGTGCAAGTGATGAGAGCTGTGGATGAAGGAAAAGGGTGCCTCACAGTTGAATTGGGGTGGGGGGTAGGAACCGACACTGAAATCTTTGTTTCTCAAATTCTCAAATACTTTATTTTGCATTCTGATTTGCTGGGTACCCTTAAAACTTTAATGTTCTCAATGCTGATATAAAAATAGTGGCATAAATCATAGGAAATTTTTGTCGCTTAATTGTAATGACCATACACACACACACACACACACACACACACACATATATATATCATCAGGCATCACTGGTTCCTCCAATATCAGATTCATGTGACATCACTCAACTCTGAGTGATTTGATGGATTCCAGTCCCACTACTAGAGGTTTTGTTGTTGCTGCTTTTATTTGTTTATTTTTATTTTATGTACATTGTTGTTTTGCCATGGGTGTTGGGTCCCTTCAAACCAGAATTACAGACATTTGTGAGCTGCCATGTGGGTGCTGGAAATTGAACCTGGGTCCTCTGGAAGAGCAGTCTGTGCTCTTAACCACTGAGCCGTCATGACTCCAGCCCCACTACTTAGAGCAGCAGACTTGGAGTGAACCAAAGGTGGGGCAGTCACTTTCAGAAAGGTAGTTCGCACGTCTGGAACCTGCGTCTGGCCGCTGGGCCTTGCCAACTCTTCCGGCTAGATGGTTTTTTTTTTGTTGTAGTGAGCTATAGTGTGCCCTTTTAAGGTGTTTGTTTTGTTTATCCCGCACTCCTCTGCTCTGCCTGCCAGGTGCCCATAGTGTGCCAACCAAAATGTCTTCAGACATTGCCAGAACTGCGTCTCACCACCCCCTCGCCCACCCCAGAATCGGCTGTTCTACTGGTGAGGCAGAAGAAACTCTAGAATTGGTATTATAAAGGACTCACTACTAGATTTACTCAGGAGGCTTTAAGCCAGACAAATGGAATTTCAGCTAAAAGAGCTCTGCTTTCAAAATACCCCAAAGATAAGTAGGGTGCTAACCAGGCTTGTTAGAGATAAGAGAAATTTAGGATGCTAGGATGTGTTTGTTCACTAGGATTGACCCCCAATTAGGCTCCTTTCCTAAAACAAAGGGAGACAACCCTGATACCATCCATTAGGCCCATCCCCATAGCAAAGAACCCTGCCTCTAACGGTCAGCTCAAGGGGTCAGCAGAGGGTCACAGCCACCATTAAGGCTGGTCTGCCATTAAGTCCTCTGTACTCTTATCAGGAAAAGCATAATTGTGCCCAGTGGGCAAGATGACACCCTCCCCCCAACAACTATTGGAAAAGCCCAACACTGGTGTACTTAAGCAATAATTCCGGCAAGGCCTCTGCTGTGTAAATCTCCCATCTGCCCAAGTGGCCAGACAAGCAGTCTCCTGCCCTTTAAATTGTTTAGAGTGTGAGTTGGAGCCTGGAACCTACAACAGATTTAAGGATGACGGTATGGAATGCCGTCACTCGAAGTATATGTAAATTAGCAAAACCTTCTGTTCGTGGTTGTCCACACTTACAGCTTTAGCCAGAGTCAGACCAGCGCTGCAGAAGAGCTCTTCCTCCACAGGTACCACCCAGAAGGCAAGTTAGTGGATTACGTCTAGAATGGCAGTAGAATAACGTAGCCCCGCATCGGGATGCTTTTAAACCAGCAATACGCTGGTGGCCTACTGCAGAGCCACCAGGACCATTTTGTCCACATTTGGTAGTTCATGTCAACTCCCCTGAAAGTCTGTCCCCAAGCAAGCACATCCACTTTTCCTCCTATCCTTAGCTCCAGTCACTCACCTTTTCACTGGCTTTGCTATAAATGTTGTTCACCTCGAACGTGCAACATCCCACCAGGGCAGGAGGTCACGACTGGAAGATGAGTTTGTACATATCACTCTTTACCCTGTCTTTTGTGTTCGTGTGTCTCAGATCTAAGTTATCAGTTAAAGTAAATGAAATAGAATCAAAGAGATGGATCTGCAAAAACTATTTAAATATGAAGTATGTCTGGAGATGAGGTAGCCAAGTCGTGTGAAAATTGTCCCGAGGCAGGCCATCTAAAAATCACTAGCCAAAAAAAAAAAATATATATATATATATATATATATATATATATATATATATATATAGTTTAACTCCTATTCACCATACAGCAGAGCTCAAAAGGGAGGAAGGAAGCTGGACACTCGGGAGGCAGAGATAGACTGGTTTCTGTGAGCTCAAAACCAGCCTGGTCTACAAAGTGAGTTCTAGGATAGCTAGGGCTATATAGCAAGATCCTGTATCCAAAAGAACTAAATAAATATAAATAATAACAAAAGAAGCTAGACTTAGAATCTGCTGTATAGTTACACCTAAATACAGTTAAATATAATAAACCGTGATTATGTGCGGAAATTGGCAGTCTGTAGTCCTGGAAACTTGTCCTGCAGTGGACTGGCTAGCACTGCGGTCCAGAAAATTCTTTCTAAATCTTTTTCGATAAGCAGAAGAGCATAAACGCAAAGCTATTTAATTAACGTGTGTGTGTGTGTGTGTGTGTGTGTGTGTGTGTGTGTATGAGCGGTCGGGAGTGAGACTAATAAGGCTGTGTGAGGCAGAGAAGAGACTGGGAAGTCCTAGCTGCCTTACTCTTCCTTATCTGAGTGCCCATGTGTGTTCAGTCACAAAGTGGTATTTGAATATATACTTAGGGTGGTGTGTGTTTCTGCATAAATGTTATATTTCAGTAAAATATATGAATACAAACAGGGGAAGGAGACAGGACTGAAAAAGGGTAGTAAGCCTGGGGGCTGAACCTGAGGCAGCAGCCGTGTGGGATTTAGGAGCCAGAGAGTTTGTCGTTTTAATATCTTCGGAGAACTCTCTCTGTGGACTAGGATTTGTAAAAGATGAGGGTCCACACTGCAGTCTAGTCTCCTAGACAGCTTTCCTTCCTGAAAACCTACAGACTTCAGATGGTGGATGCCACAGGTGTCTG